ATCTCCCTCAGTAAAGAGCCTGGTTCCATCTTCTCAGTAACCTCTTCTTGAATGTTGGAAGGTTGTTGGAAGTCTGCCAGCATCTTTCTTGATCCTGAGAAAACTGGACACAGTATTCCACATGTGGTTTAACAGGCACAAAGCAAAAGGGACTGACCTTCCCTTGGCTCCTGCTTCTCTGTGCTGTTGGCCTCCATCGCTGCCAAGGCACGATGCAGGCTCATCTTCAGCCTACTGTCCACTTGCACTCCTGAGAGAGCAAAAGGCGTGTACCTGCAGTAACTGATGGAGCTGTGGCTCTGCTTAGTGCAACACATTTTCTCACTTTTCCCACCTTGCATTGAAAGGTAGCAAATTAAGCGTGTTATGACATTTACGCAATGAAATTCAGAAATCAAATTAGACAAGACTGAAATTATATATCATAAAAATAAACATTCAGTGCTGAGGTTTTTTTTGTCCTAGTAGTTCTAGCTATGGGTACAGCTTGTGCAGTAGTTGTAGGGTTTATTTTCTCACTAGCTGCTCAGTCTGTGCTACTTCTGTCACTTTGGTTACTTTCTCTATGTCTTCATGCCTTATATACTTTACAAGGAAGCTGAGGCGGAATTAATACCTAGTTAATAAAAATCTGCCTATTTCACCTGCAAGATCTTTTTTTTTGGAGGTAACACCTAGGTCTGTAATAGCTCTTGCTGATCCTCAGGGATTTTTGCCTTTTCCTTCTGGATTCCAAGGAGTTTATAAATTATTGCGGAATTGCACTACGTATATCAGATTCATAAGTCAAATATCCATTGCAGCATTGAAGTAAGACATACTTCATAACTTCCTATAACAGCTGTATCTCATTTGAAATACAAAGTGTATTGTACAACTCCCTGTTAGCGTAAAGTGTATGTGGTATTCTTCCAAACAGCAAGGTGAGTGCCTGCTTCAGTGCCATTTCTGAAGGTAAGGAGTTAAATTCTGGGATTGTAGGTTTGTGTAGGAGATGCTTCAGTGTGACCTTTAGCATCCTGTTTCTTTGCATTCCAGAGCACACTGCTAGTTTGTGAGGGGTTTGGCTACGTGTCTGTAGGGGACTGGGCCAGAATCCCTGAATTAATTTTCACTAGTAAACCAAATCGGGAGTGATCCAGACAGTCCAGATGCTAACACCTTGGGCTATGGTAGCTCCTGAGGAGTTTGTCTGTAAATGTCTTCTGCATATTCTTTTCCTCCTGAAGCTTATTTCAAACAGGTTTTATGTTCTGATTAAAAAAGAACTGGTAAGTGTCCATGGAGTATTTATTTTAAAAGGCAAGGTCAATTCAGTTTTGATATTTGAAAACATATTTTTCTGTTTCTGTTCATATTGTTAAGTATGAAATTGCTTAATTCCCTTATTAAATTTGATTTCTTTCATTATACTGATATGCTGGTTTATTATTTGATGAAGCTACAAGTATTGCTTTTGATGAAAGAGGTCTAAAGGATTTGTTTTTTGCAGTGGATAATCACAAAGAATTTCAAACTGATAAGCAGGGCTCCAAACGCAGCAGATATTAGTAGTGGGCACTAACAAGGTTTCCTAGTCCTTCCTGATTTGCTTAAGTTCTGTTGAATGCTTCTGTGGGAGGGAAGGGAAGCTTGACAGTTACAAGAAAAAAGAGAAACTGTGTTCAGACATTGCAAGAAATATTCCAAACAATGAAGGATTCAAGAAAAATAAGAGCCGCATTGTTCCTTTTTATTGGAAAGCGGAGTGGAGTGTCTTTTTTTGCTGACATACCATTTTCCATTATACTGTTTTTTTGCATCCCTGGAAGCACCCTTAGGAGTGTGGAAAAGAGGGGTGTAGTCTTGTTTTTAGAGCAGAATAAGCTTTTGCATAGGCAAAAAGAGACCAAGTGCGATTGATTTGGCTTTGAAAGAGGGACCTAGAACAAGAAACTGCTGCCCTGCTGCCCTGAGGTTCTGATTGCACAGGTCCAACCTCGTGTCCCTGTGCCTGGGGGCTGGGTGTGTAAGGCAGATTCCCCTGCTTCAGAGCAGGAGACAGAGGTAGGAAATAGGTGATCTTCATCATGTTATGGAGGTAGGGAATATCTCCCTGGTGCAGAGGTAGATATCCGTGTCATCATAGAAGCGTGCATAGGTTTTGATTGAATAAAAAAGGGTTTACTCCTAGGTGGTTTTGCTTTGCTCAAGCTTCATAAAAGAAGGGGGAAAAAATTAATCTGGTTTAAGATGTGTTGCTTAAGTTTTTCCACAGGGCAAGACAAAACTATTGTTACTTTATCGTAGACCTTTTCTTCCCATTATTTTCTTAGAGACATTATGTAGCTAATAGCTTGAGCTGATTAACGCCTTAGTGTGTCTCCTACTGTGAATACCAGTGAGGATCAGCTTTCATTTAATTAGATGAGGTAAAGCAGAGAGCTTGGAGGGAGACAGGTAGATATTTATCAGATGGATGGAAGCTTATTGTTTCAAATCCTTGGCGGCACAGAACGTTTCCTGGCTGGGCTCTGTTCATTTGCCAATGAGGGGCATTTCCCCTCCTCTCACCTGGGCCCTGGGGCAGTGTTGGTAGAGGATGGAAGAATTTCTGGGGGAAACCTTGGAGAAAGAGTTTGGGTGACCAGAGTGACCAGATGAACAAGAGTGTTTCTCTAGAGAGGGGAACTTACGTAGCTGTCCTTTGCTTACGTATTTTGTTCTGGTTTGTAAATGCAGTGTGTATTGGAGTGATACGCACCAGGAAAAGCGCAGTGAACCTTTAGAGGAAGTGAGCTGTAGTGACATCTGATAATACTGATGGCAGATTAATACACAGTTCTGTCCTGTTCAAACCTCAGCGTATTGTCACGGGCCACAGTTTCTAAAAACAGCTTAATGCAGTAGGGAACTGCTTGAGTATGGGTTTGGGATCTTGATTCTCAGAGGTGAGAATAACACAGTCTCCTGTTGATATTAAAAACTGCTGGTATTTATGTAACAGAGGATACTGGATGCTCTTTCGGCAGTATGATACACAAGGTGCTTTTCTTGGCCCAGAGGAGACAGACAGTATTATGGTAAGAGGTGTGTGTCAAGTTCAGAAAAGAGCTAATAGTGGAAAAATCTCTGAATATTGTTTTTTGAATCCAATTTTGGATGAATGAAACATCATCTCCAGTTAGTTGGTTTCCTGTTCTTCATTCTTGGTCCTGTGTTGTGATGTTTGGAGTTTTATTTGAGCAAACATGCAATTACAAAAAAATGTTTTGTAGAGTGGCCCAATGCACATGACAAAGATGGTCAGAAGACGTTAAAAGCAGTGAAATTTCAACACCACCACCATGTGTGGAGGGTGTGACGGTGTAAATTCTTTTCTCGGCTGTCCTGGAAACTTGAACTGAGTGAAATCAGTATTTAATCTGGCCAGGAAGATGGCCCCTTGACTACTTAAGTCTTTTCTGCCTCGTACAACTTCCTGGGCGTCTTGCTGGGCTTACGGAGCAATTCCATCGGAGCGTGTCAGGAGGCCGCAGCGCGTTTTCCCGCCGTGGCTGAGCAGCGGGAGCGGCCCGATGCTCACCCCCTGCCCGGCCCCGCTCTCGGCCAGGGGCTCCTGGGGGAACCCGGCGGTGCTGGAGGCGCCTCCCGGCCCCGGGGGCCGAGCCCCTTCCCCGCCCCGGGCTGCTGCGGGCCGCGGCCGGGCCAGCCGGCGTCGTCGCCGCGTTCCGGTCCCCTCCGGTTTCTCTTCCTTTTCGTGTCTCCCGGCCCTGGCTCCTCCTCCGAAGGGGGCCGGGGCCCTGCGGGGAGGCAGCCGCTTTGGAGCGCCAGTGGCTGGGAGGCGAGGCGGGGGAGGGCCGCCCGCCCCGCGCCGCTTCCTTAAGGCGAGGACCGGCCCCGGCCCCGGGAGCGAGCGGGAGCGGCTGCGGGGCCGCGCTGTCCCCTTGCCCGGCCGGGCCGGGCCGCCGGGAGGTAGGTGGGCGCCTGCCGGGGGGGTGCGGGGGGAGCCGGCCATCCCGGCCCCCTGCTCTGCCCTGCCCCGCCGGGGGGGTGCGGGGGGAGCCGGCCATCCCGGCCCCCTGCTCTGCCCTGCCCCGCCGGGGGGGTGCGGGGGGAGCCGGCCATCCCGGCCCCCTGCCCTGCCCCGCCGGGGGGGTGCGGGGGGAGCCGGCCATCCCGGCCCCCTGCCCTGCCCCGCCCAGCCGGAGAAGGGCTCCGGGGGGGGTGGGGGGGTGGCGGCTCGGCCGGCGCGGAGCCCCGCGGGGGTTCCGGGGGGGGCGGGAAGAGCGGCGGTGGGGGTTGGAATCCGCTGCTTTGTTCACGTGTTTTGAAAACCGCTTCGAAAGGGCGGGTCGGCACCGCGTTCCGGCGAGCGAAAGCGAGGAGCCGGGAGCAGCCGGGCTCGCTGGGCGGCTGCGGGGCCGGCCGGCCGCAGGTAAGGGCTGGGGGGCCGGGGGGGGTCAGGCGTTGCTCTCTGGCTTGCTGGAAGTTTCAGGAGGGATGTTCCAAAGTCTCGGCTCTCATGAGTAATCTCTTAGCAGATTTAAACAAGACCAGCCTCTTGGACCAGCGTTATCGCAGTTCAGAGTCCCGCCGGGAGCGCGGGGGAGGCCGCCCGGGCTTTGTTCGGCGGCCGCCGGGCCCCGCGGTGCTGGGAGGATGTAACGGGCGTTACAGAGGTCCTAAGCTAAAGTATGGAGGGGGGGCGGGGCGGGGTGGTGTTTTAAAACATGGAATTGAAAACGTTACCACAAAGTAGTAAAATAATAGTGTATTTTAGGTGTCATCCATTTCCATGTCGGTTTGCAAAACTAAATAAAACCAACCTTGCTTCACAGAAGAGATCTTTGAGACTATGTAACAGGCTTTTTGAACAGAATTCAGGTCTAAGGCTAAAAAACCACCCGACCTTTTATGGCTAGCTGAAAACACCACTACTATTTTTTTTTTTCCCTCTATTTATAGAATGGAACTAAAACAGCAATGCAAAATTAGGGGAAAACGATCAAAAGATTTTTCTTAATAAATTGAGAAAAAAAGTATATAGAAAGATTTCTTCATATGAAAAATAAAGACTTTTAGAACTTACGGGAGGATAAAGCAGGGCATGGTGCGTTTCATTAGCCAGCACCAGTAGATAAGCAGAAAGCAGAGCAGATGGCCAGCTCTTCCCTGGCCGAGCTGGAAGTGAACGCGCTACTCAAAAATCACAGGGCCTTGGCAGACGCCAACTCTGCGCTCGGGTTTCCCCAGCAGCATGAGAGCAGCTCTGTTGTGCTCTCAGAGCTCAGCATCTCCTGACTGGGTGTGGAGCTTCCAGGGTTTCTCTTGCTGGGCTGGCTCCAGAGAAGGTTGGGTGGGAGCAGGAATTACGTGTCTGAAATTAAGCAGATGCTGCTGGGAGAGTAATGGAACCTTTAGTAAACAGCCACTGAGTAGCTCTCCCCTGATTTGCAAGACCTTATTTTTGCTGGCACTTGAATAGAATACCTCATTGGGATGCATACAGTGCACTTTTTAAACAGTAGTTCTGTTACCAAACCTAGAAAGTGTGACCAGAGGGCTTCCAGTACTCAGCTATCACATTCCAAGCCTAATGATTCATGTTTATGGTTTAAAACTGAGACTGCAGGTTTGAAGTTCAATTGTGTATCAGTCTTTCTCGAAAATGTCCTGCTGTCTTGTTTTTTAAAACTTGAGGGAAGGTCTTGAGGCAGTAATGGCAATTAAATGGGGTCACTGGATTTCACACTTAATTGAGCTGACAGAGCAGAATGGTGTTGCGTAGCTGGCAGATTAGCAGTTCTCTATTAGATAATAATTCTCCAGGAATTTATACCTGCTGGTAACTGCTGCTTTTATTTACCTAACGTGGATTCTGGGTGGGTTCAGACAGGTGGGGGAGTTGGGTACTGATGTCCAACCTCCTACAAACCAACAATCATAAGCTTCTTGTCTAAGTTGATAACATAGGCTTTGTGGCACTGCCTGCATCCCAAAAAGTCCAGCTGTTGAGATGCCATTTGATCACCAGTTCTTGTTCCTTTCCCCATGGAAAGCAGGTAAACTCGAGGTGGATTTTTCATTTCAGCCTTCTTACACTATAGGAACCGGACATTGCTCCTGGGGCAGCCACAGCAGGGATCACAACTTGCCATATACGTCAGCACTTAAGCCAGACTCAAGCCAGACTCAGGTATTTGCATCTTAGTGAATGTAATGAGGTCAGTAGAACAGATCTTAAGAGAAACTTAGGTCTTACTCATCCGAATTCCCGTTTTTGAAGAAGTGGAGAAAAAAAGCTTTTCACGCCAATATTTCCCCCTTCCTGGAGAGGAATCTCTTGTGCACCACATTTTTTGTTTTGAATTGAAGGGCAGTAGTTCCTACTGCATTGGGCTGTAGAACATTTCAATGCCCATTTGTTTTTAGGGAGCAGGTCAGCTATTTAACTTGTTCCATGCTTTCATAGATTCAGGCTTGTTCCATCTAGAATATAAGAATTTATTGAAAATGTTTCAGGGGATAACATTGGATTTCTGCTGAAAGAGCTTCTGGGTTTACCTCCGTTATCTTTCAGGGAAGAGCACTGAAAAAAAATGTAGATAAGACTTCTGATTGCTCTGTTGTCTTTGTGCAAAGTCAGGCACAGGTGAAGGTCCGAGGAGGAGGAGAGGAGGCCGTGGGAGCAGGGTGCCAGCCTGGCCGCGGGCGCTGGGCATGGCCGGGCGGCGCGAAGGGCAGGCTGCGGGGGAACTGCCGCTCACCGGCGCCCCACGGGCAAACTCGCTCCAGGCTCACGAGGAGACCTCTTCAGTCTGAAAATGCTCTTCATCATGGTCCGATGAAGTGCTTTCGAAAGGATGTCTGTCAGTTCAGCCTGTTTCTATTTAAAATTATTCTTTAATAGTGGTAATTTCTAGCATTTCTGGCAAATCAAGAGGAATAGTTCCCCTGTGATCCTTGTTGCTTTTCTTTGACTTTTGATGGGATTTTGGGGAACTGCTCTCATCATTTTGCTATACAGATGGCTTCATTTTGTTGTGTAGGAGTTTCTTGTGGCAGCCAGAGAAAGACTGTATGATATTTTAAATCGGAAAACAAAAAAATTTGGCACAGGGCTCAGGGATGAAGGAGTCTGTTTTGAGTGCTTTCAATTGATTTTAAATTTACATCCTTTCAATTAACTGGATTTTTTTTTTTTTTTTTTTAATATGCAGTTGTGAAAATTCAGCTTATATAGCAACATGCAGACAGGTCTTGGAACCTCCTGAGATATAGAATACCATATAGCAGTTTTCCTCCTGAAAAAAATACTCTTATGCAGGGACTTAAGAGGTGTTTCTAGGGAATACCTGTCATTTGGAGTTGTAGGCTAATGAAAATGCACAGTTCTGGCTAGAATATTTTTATTTAGAGGCCTGAGTGGGATGCCACTAGCTAGTTAATTGTAGGTTTTCCTGTTGGCCCTCCCACTTCTGCCTTATCCCTAATACAATAGGGCCCTTTCCCTCACACCAGAGCACCAGTGCTCTTTTTGATCTACTCTTGGGCATACAGCTTTCGTGGTGAGCTTTGCAAACAAGGAATTTTTACTTTTTTTTTTTTTTTTTTTTTTTTTAGACCCAGACTTTAACAGAAAACATAAGTGAAATGGATAGCTACTAGAGAGTTAGCCCCTAAATTGTTCTGGGTATTTGATTTAATCTTGAAGTGAGGTGTAGCTAGCTGACTTACACTTTCTGAACCAGGGGTCTGGTTTTAAGCTCCTTTAACAATCCAAATCCAGTTGCAGGAGATGCAGAAAATCTGATTGAGACTGTGGTCTGCAGGGTCCAATAGGGAAATTTTTCTTTATGTATATTCAGAATGCTCAGACAGAAATACTGCAGCCTTTTGTCTTTGAAAAACCAAACCGAACCAGCTGCCTTTACTCATGTTTTGTGTTTTGGTTCTACTGGATGTAAAAACTGTGACAGTACTGGGACTCGCATAATAGACATGTCAACACTTTTATACCTGATTCTTAAACTGGCCCTAAACCTGGCTTGCTTCATTATGTTCTGGGTATTTGTAGAAGAATGTCCTGTACCTGCTCCCTATGTGAGTCTTTGGAGATGGGAAGAGACTTCAGGAGATGGATGTTTATGTCTGGCAAGGGTTGTGAAATAGAAAGATGTTCCTTTCCTTTCTGTTTTCTTCTTTTCTAAGCTGGACACTGAGAGCAGGAAAGGATTTTTGGTGCCCAGCAGTCCAGAACCCTTTTAGTGGCAGCTGCTGCACTGCAGAAGTGAAGCTGGGAATTATCTCCTCCTCTTCTCCGCCCCACTCCTCCTCCTCCTCCTCCTTCTCCTCCCAGCCCCGGATTCAGACCGGCGCTGGGGTTAGCGGTGCAGGGCCAGCTGGCTGCTCGTCTGACTGTAGTGCTTCGCTGCCCAGCAGCCCGAGACTGCGGGGTGTTTTTTGGAGAGTTGAGTTTCAATGGCCTCCCTGACTAGCGAGAAGCAAGGACTGCTTATATGGACAGCTCGTTTTTCTCTTGTGCAGAGTCGGCTGTGTAGCGGGATGTTGAAATATGACACAATGCCTGTTTGTTTGCAATAGCTGCGACCCTCGTAGCAGAGATTCAAGTGGGAAACAGAGGGGGAATCCAGAGACAAGCCAGCGGGGGAATTAGGAACTGTGACGCCGTGTCCTCTCTCCTGTGCCGGAGCAAGCAAAGGAAAGAGAGGTAGAGGAAAAAAGACTGAGCCTTGCAACAGCCGTCATCCTGACGATGTGTCAGTCAAACACCCTGCAGGGACCAGATCTACACACAGGGAAATGGTGAGATGCTATAAAGCTTTATCTAACCCTCCACCCTCTTGCTACAACCTCCACAAAGTTAAAATTCATGTCCGGAGGCCGCGTTCAGGGGCCGGCGGCAGCAGCAGCTGTGCCAGGGACCAGCAGCCACAACTGGAGAGCTCAGGCCCGGCTGGCTCTGCCGGTGATACACCAAATAGGAGCACTCGCTTCAGGTACTGTTCAGTATTTTCTGCTTTGCAGGAGTGGTGACTAAAGGGAGAAGCGAGGGAGGGAGGATGGGAGGGCTTCTGGGCAGAAGGACCAACAGCCATCTGTAAAGCTTGTCTTTGGCCTAATTACTGTAAAGCTCCTTATGCACTGAACTGGCAGAGAAGGGCACACTGTTGTATGACAAGGGGAACGAGGAGGCTTCCATTCCTTTCCTTTCTACTCTCCATCACTAGGAGAATGGAAAAATTAGTGGAGAACTGCTCTGAAACCAGGCCAAGGCATTGAGAAGCCTGAGGGCTCTGGAGCGAGCTGCCAGGATGCAGCTCTGCAGGGATTGGTCCTTGAGCGACTGCAGTGAAGAGGGGGAGAGCAGCGGGGGGGGAGTGGGACCTCCGGGCTCCATGCTGGCATCCCGGCTCCCGGCCCGCCCGCCCTGGAGCAGAGTGCAGGCAGGTGGGTGGGAAGGATGGGAGGAAGGAGGTGAAGTGTCCCTTCCGATACCCATGTCCTTCCTATTCCCGTGTTGAGTCAGTCCCACCCCCAGCTGAGAAGAAAGCGGCTTTACCTCTGCTGAGACCGCACTTCCTCTTCTCAGGGTGGTTCGTTTTGTTTTTTTTTTTTTTCCCCTCCCCCCCTTGCATTGTGATGCACAGATCATTCTCTGGTTTTTACTCCTCAGTTCTTGGGGGGGAAAGAAGTTGTGTTCACTGCATAAAATCTCAGCCAAACGCACCATCTTGCATCTCAGAGTGGTGACAGTTGTACCTGCCTGCGTGATTTCTAATTCTGATCCAAGCTTTGAAAAGAACATGTTGGCAAGAAAATTTCCTTTTGGTTTTCCGGCTTCTTTCCATCTTGGAAAGACATACACAGTACTTTATAGTTCATCCTTCATATCATAAAATCCAGTGAGAGAGCAAGCTGTTCAGAGCAGCCAGAGCATGCCACTTCCAGTTTGTGTGTGCACGCAGCTGTAGCCTCGTTACAGGCGTACTGCCTTCAGCTGAGAACAAGCTGAGCCAGGATGTAAGTCAGTGCCCCGAAGAGTTGAATGTTTTGGCTGCAAGTAGGAAGACTTTCATTTGATAATGTGACCTTGGAAATGCCAATGGTTTCTTCATGAGTAGAAGCCAAAGAAGAAATGGGCACCTGAAGGGTCTCTCATCCAGACCTCCTGCAGGGATCTGCACCGAGGCCCATCATGTTCTCTGCTAATAAACTGAGCAGCGTCTCCCTCTGAGAGTTACAAGTTCAACTTCTCCCCGTGGCCATTTGTGCAAAATGAGTGTCCTCGCAGCCAGGACATCACATGACAAAACATTATGGATGCAGTTGGTTATGAGGCACAGGTGTTGGTTACTGGGCTATGGAGACCAGATTATCTTGCAGCCCTAGCAGTACTGGCTTTGGCCATGTCTTCCCTGTTCAGAACCACAGTACCCAGTGAAGGTTTTAAGACCTGGAAGGATGTCTTTTGGAATCAGTTATTTGTCAATTGTATCAGTTAACTGAGGAGTGCCACTACTGTTGTTTCTCAAGTAAGTGCTTGTTTCCCAAAGTTAGTGAACGACCAACAGGTCTGTGTAAATTTGACTCCAACATCTTTTGTGATACAAAATAGAGCTTGAGGCCTTCAACACACGAATCCTCTGAGGGACCTCAGTTTATTAGGTTTCAAGGATTTCTTTCATCAGAGCATCTGTTCTTTTCTTAAAATTGTCCTTCCATAGAGTTATTAAAGTCCCAGCATCCCAGATTTCTAGCTTTCAGAATATTGTTTGCTGACCACTTTGGCTATTTAACAGCTGGAGCAATCACAAAAAAGGTTTTCTGGGGATGTGATTTTCTGATATTTGGAAGAACTGTTGCTTTTTGTTATTTCCACTGTAGACTATCATGTCATGTTAGTTGGATGAACCAGCTGTGACTTCATTTTCAAATGTCACCTCCAAGTGTTCTTGCCTTTAATTTTTGAGGGTGTCAGTCCTAACATGTAACCCGTGAGAGTGAACACCATTTCACCGTTTTTTGGACAGAGGATTTTTCTTTTTTTTTTTTTTTTTTTTTTTTTTAATATAAACTGATCTGCTATTTTGGGAAGGGGAAGAACTGATCAAAATAAAGGAGTAAAGACTAGCCGGAATAAATCACCTCCAGCTATGGGAAGCTGGAGGTTCTGAAGCTGAGATGGCTGACCCTCTTATGTTGTGTATGTAATCTTTCAGGTTGCAATTTCCCCAGCTGGCCCTGAGGCGAAGGTTGGGCCAGCTAAGCTGTATGTCTAGGCCTGCTCTGAAACTCCGTTCTTGGCCTCTGAGTATTCTCTATTATCTTCTGCCTTTCGGTGCTCTTAAGCCCTTGACCAGAGTGGGATGGAGGCCTATGAGCAGGGTAAGTGTGAGCAGGTCTCTTGCGCTTCGTGTACGTTAGTCCTTTTACGCTGAAGGGAGCTGGCAGCAGCTGGGTGGAGAGATCCTCACTACAGCACAGCCTGATCATCACTGGTGTGAAAGCAGAGATGCAATTCGTGTTTCCCTTCAGTTTTTACTGTTCATAGTTGTGTTGAGTGATTGCTTTACAGACAAGTGATATTTTTTTTTTTCAGTAGCAGAGAATCTCTTGGTACTCTAACAGTCAGGAGTCTACCCAGGAAAATCAACAGAAACTTTTGAATTAATTCAGTCACCACAAAGTATCAGGGCTAGGATAAGGCAGACCAAACCTCTTCTCAAGTTCCTTTTTGTGGCCACATTGAAATGGTCTTTTGCTTTCTGTCATTTTTGCAGAGGGGGTTGTTCCTCAAGTTCTTTGAGCGTTTGTAATCCAGCCTGTCCAAATGACAGGCAAATCTCTGCTCTGACACAGGGAGAAAGCAGGGTGTAGGATGTCTTGCACATAGTTATTCTACAAATCATGCAATTTCAGAATGCAACAATGACACAAATATTTTGATTGAAAATGTAACGAATTGCCATTCTTAAGACTATTTCATTGAATAGCTGTTCTGTTTTGATCCCATCAACTTGAAAACCAGGCTGTTTTGAAGAGAAGGGGCTCCTAGGAAATAGCACTTCTGATTTTTTGTGATTTTACAGTTGTATCTGCATATTCTCAGTGATTGTGGAAAAACTGAGCAGAATTGATTTTAGAAATTAACACTGTATAAGTAATGTCAAATAAAATGGCAAAATATTTTTTTCCTTCAGTTCTTCATTTTACAAAATCTAGGGTACTGTTCATTTAGAAGTTTATCTGAATTAAGATTAGGTTGGCGTTTTCCTTCTGAAGTATCACTGTATTTTAATGTGATGTAGGATGGTGATTCGTGAGTAAAATCTTAATTTGCTGTATTTGTTACAATGGACAGGCTCTCAGCCAGTGTGTGCTTCTGTTTGTGTTTATGGCTGTATTTTTCAAGACTTAAGTATGAAGGATGTGATTAATATTGAAAATAAATGATGACTCTCACTAACAAAAATTAAAAAACAACTTTTAGTCAGGAGTTAAATGTAGCTGAGTGGTACTGTTGAAAAAATTTGTACCAGATTCAGCAGATGACAACTTCCTTTCAAAACTGGTTTCAGAGAGTTCAGTTCCCTTGATCCACACATTCCCACTCCTCCGATTACATCATGGTCATATGAGCTTTTGGGCTGATAACCAGTATTAGAAACCCCAGAAGAACTACCTGCTGGAATCACCAACAGGAAGACACCATCATCTGTCCACTTACATCAGCAGCATATACCTCTTTACCAACATTATTTCACTTGGTTTTTGTGCTACTAAAACTTACGCTTTGGTATAAGTCCAAAAGTATATTTCGTCAGGAATAAAGGCATGTTATACTCTTGGAATTAGCAGCTCCCATGGTTGTGCGAGGAGGAGTAAGGCTGGAGTAAGTTTGTAGCTGCATCCACATGGGTATGTTTCTCTGATTGTACTAGTATCATTAGAGCAGTACAATACTGGGATGTGGAAAACACCCTCATTAGTAGATGCAGCCAAGAAATTATTTTTCAGTCAATTTTCATTTGGTCATTCACAAAAATGAATATATTGGTAGTGTTAAACCCTCCTGACGAGCGCTCTACTAGAATATATGAAATGTGTCTTTTTTTCTGTAAGCCTCACATTGGGCAGTTTCCAGTAACTTGAATGTGGAGCTCTACCCTGCAGGGGAGTGGAGATTCTGGCTTCAGTGTAAGGTCACTGTAAGTTTCATCCCGTCCCTCCTCTGCTCTCATCAGAATGGAGGGAGTGAGGATGAAGTGCAGTGTTAATTTTTTGCTGACTGAAAGGTTACTTTGTGTGCGGTGTAGCCCACTGAATTCAAGGGAGTGGTGAGCAGGAACAGTTTGCTCCTTTCTGGTTTATGGGGAGAAGTAAGAGAGCCACCAGTGTGAGGAACTGAGTGACGTGGTGCCCTTCTTTCTTCAGGTTGCTCTGTACAAATCGGTACCGACTCGCCTGCTCTCGCGAGCCTGGGGTCGCCTCAACCAGGTGGAGCTGCCTACATGGCTCCGGAAGCCCGTTTACAGCCTGTACATCTGGACGTTTGGAGTGAACATGAAGGAGGCAGCTGTTGAAGATCTGCATCACTATAGAAACCTCAGCGAATTCTTCCGCAGGAAGCTGAAACCACAAGCGCGGCCAGTCTGCTGTTTGCACAGTGTGGTAAGTCAAAGGAAGTGAAGGCTTTACACCGCGCCATCCGCTTTCCCTCACCCCACCAAGGAACGTGTCTGCTTTATGAGGAATGAATTAATTCCTGATGTGTTTCATTTTTTCTCTTTGCTGTAGATTAGTCCCTCTGATGGAAAGATCCTTAATTTTGGACAAGTAAAAAACTGTGAAGTGGAGCAAGTAAAAGGGGTTACTTACTCTCTGGAATCTTTCTTGGGACCTCGCATCTCCACAGAAGAGTTGCATTTTAGACAGGGTGAGTTCTGCGTTTATTCTGCTCTGCCCTTTCAGTGTTCTTGGAGATCATGAGAAAAGAGATTACTCTTTTTTTTTTTTTTTTTTTTTCCTTTTCTTCTTTTTCTCACATTGTCAGGAACAAAAGCCAATCTGATTTTTGTTTCACTTTATTTGGGAATAAACACGTCACTGTTCTACTCTTTCTCACCAGTGGCTTTAGAGTGTCTTGCCTGGCTCGTTCTGATTATCTGAATTTAATTGCTTGGTTCCTACCATTCACTCCAAGACCTGCCCCTATAATGAAGCTGTGGCACTCCTGCTGCCAGACTGAAATGTGTCCAAGCACCTGGTTACCAAAAAAGCTACTCGTAACAAGATTTGTGCTCAAGCCTTACTGACTGCTGCACCTCAGGAGCTGTCTCCAAGGCCTTGAGTTCTGATGAAAGCAACACGTTTTGCTAAACTCACAAGGGGACTGGTGGGACTGAGTTCTGCAAATAGTAGGGCTATTTTCAGCATGAGCACACTTGCGACTACCACATTTTGTAAAACCAGGGACTCTTCACAAATTTTCTTCTTAAAAGGGTTGCTTTGAGAAAAGTTCTGTTTCAATGGATTTCAGTTTCTGCTGTTCTGTTTAGGGAAGGTCAAACTACAAAATTAAGGAATTTCCAAACTGATTAAAACAATACAGAATCTAATTTTGTTGTCAAGGGAAAAGAACATTTTGAAATACTGTGTTCCAGGACAAAGTGTATCTTTTTGTAGTCTCAGCACTACATGTGGACTGCATTTAGTCCTCTATCACCACTGGTTCTCATGCAGACTGCTGGGCTATGGTAGACGAGTGGGTGAAGAATATTTTTAACCCCTTTCTTTCCATGGTTTCTTTGCAGCCCCATCTGGTAACTCTTTTCAGCAACAACTAGTCACAAAGGAGGGGAATGAGCTCTACCATTGTGTAATCTACCTTGCACCAGGGGATTATCACTGCTTCCACTCACCCACTGACTGGAGAGTGTCACACCGACGTCATTTCCCAGGTAGGTCACTGTTCCTAGAAAAAGAATGCAGAGCAGCTCTGCTATGGGCCACTGCTGAATGAGACACGCCAGTGGAGCAGTTGTATAGTTGCATGATAGATAATGGTAGAAAAGTGATTTGTCACAAATGGTAGTGAATTTTATAGTAGCGTAGTTTATGAGAACATACCACATACAAACGGTGAAAAAAGTGATACTGTATTCAAGCTGCTTTAGTTCTTTGAAGTAACTGTTGATGCATGCTGACCTGACTTGTTCCCAAACACAACTTGCTCATTTTGCACCTGAAATACACACAGTTCTGCAGATCAGCCCAAACAGTAGTTTAAGATACGATCTCTCCCTGTGCTTGGTGAAGAAGATGCAACTAAACCATTATGCTACTAGAGCTCGAATGTTTTTGCCCTCCTCTTTGCAGATCGTCATGCTTTAGTTCAGCAGATAACAAAAATGCTTTACTACCTGGTATCTAGCAAAAACCTAACTGCTTGGATTTGGATTCAAACACCGTCAGAGACAATGACCTGCCACAAAGTTTGCAAAATCTGTCAAGTTCTAGATTGAAGCTTGGCCTTGGTTGAAACAAAGGAGTATTAGTGAAATGCTAGTATCAGATCCGGTGCAGCAAAGCATGTGTGTTTAATAGCTAAAAATGTGGGTAGTGAATATACCTTACTAAATTACTTTAAGGATTATGTAGGGATTTAAATTTTCGACATTCTTCTGTAATAAACTTTTTTTGGAGTGATTTACCTTATTAGTTTTTCCTGGTCAGCTCTAGCCAGATAGCTACTTGGTTTTCAGCCCCAGTCTCAGTAACCACTTTTATGTATTTTTACCAAAGGGAACAGGATGGGGCTGCTCTCATGCACTGGACAGTTAACCAGTGAAACCTGTTCTTAAGCAGTAAAAAGTTTCTTTAGTTTCCTTTTAGTAGCCTGTAGACTGATGTTAGATCGATCTTATGTGCTTATTAGAAGGTTTCTTTCAATTCTACCTATCAGAGCTGAGACTAGGGACTAGCTCTGCCTTTGTCCTTGCCCTTGATCTTTCTGAAGGGCCTATCCGATGACAATTAACAGTAGTTGTCATTTGTAAATGTGTAGGTGACACTGGTGTGAAGTTGGTTGGTTACATCTTTAGTAGAGGAATAGCATCGCATAGTGTGGAAACGGGTCCCTGCCACCTCAGTTTTGTGAGAGGAGCAGGTATGACTGATGCTACAACAGGCTTCAACAACAGCAGATACCTTGAAGGGGACTCCCACCCCAGATTTTGCTCCTGCTTTAGTGGCAGGCATTCACTGTCTGGAAATGCAGCCAAGGTGAAGCTGTAGATGGGAATAAGTGAAAGCTGAGGGTGGTAGGGAGGTACCGGGCAGCCTGAAAAGAACTATTTCCAGGTATGAAAATTTAAACCCTATGCTCTTTACTGGAGAACTGTAGATGGTGCTCCAGATGGCATTCAGGCCTTACAGTGAAGGATGAGCGCAGTCTTTAGTTTCCCCATGATTCTGCTAGGAAGAATGCAAAGTAGTACGAGTCCTGCCCAAGAGTAGTGGTATTGCTGGAAAGAAGACTGAAGATAACATTTTTCTGACCGCTTTGTTTTTACTACAGCCTTGCGTGTCATTCACTCTGCCTCACATTTGCCCCTCTACCTACAAATAAGTGACAAAATTGTTTACTGGATCAGCCACAATTATACTGAAAATACCATTTAGATAACATTACAATACTGCTACAAACCAGACAACTTGAATATTTTCTCACTATTTCAGGTTCTCTGATGTCTGTGAACCCTGGAGTCGCTCGCTGGATTAAGGAACTGTTCTGCCACAATGAACGGGTTGTCCTTACAGGTGACTGGAAACATGGCTTCTTCTCTTTAACAGCTGTAGGAGCAACAAATGTGGGCTCTATCCGCATCTACTTTGACCAGGTGAGCAAGATAGTGGTAGGCAGCTTTCTGGTTTTGATGGTTGAGGTTGGTACTGTATAATAAAGGAAAATTATAACAAAATTTAAAAAGTCTTATTAGTCTGCAATTAAAAGTGCTTTACAATACTGATGTTCTAAGACTGATTTAAACAGTCTTCTCCCATATAGACTGTTCTTTTTTTTTAATATTCCTATTGCACTTTTGAATTGAAAGTTCCTGCTTTGAAAATGCCTGGATATCCACAGCCCTACAGCTGTGCTAGTGAATAGAGAGTACAGAAATCCTCAAGTAACAGTTTCTTCCTTCTCTGTACAGGACTTGCATACCAACAGTCCATGTTACTCTAAAGGTTCCTACAATGACTTCAGCTTCATATCCAACAACAACAAGGAGGGAATCCCCATGAGGAAAGGGGAACATTTAGGGGAATTTAATTTAGGCTCTACGATCGTTCTCATCTTTGAGGCACCCAAGGACTTCAAATTCCACCTCAAAGCCGGACAGAAAATCCGCTTTGGAGAAGCACTGGGCTCTCTATAGAAACTCCGTCAGCAAGAAGGTTTTCTATACAAAGGGACTCTTACCACACCCCTGAGTGTGTCACTTAACAAGTATGCATCACTCAGCAGGACCTGGGTGAGGAACACCGAAGATGTCATTGCTATGTTAAACTTGAGAGTATTTGGTGTACATTTACATGCTGCTGAATGCAGAAAGAGAATTGAATGACCATGTATGTATCAGGTACAGCTGCCTTTAAAGATTTTGACCATGGAGGTTTCTGTCCCACCCTGTGCCTGTAGTCTTTCATGTTCTCCCCTCAATGTGCCACAGGATAATTACGTTATTAGAGCCTGTAAATCCCTTTTAAGCCTTCCTAGGCTGTGCAGGTGCAATAGGGAAGGGTGGACATAGAGATTAGCTGTATTTAAAGGGACACTGACAGGCTCAATCAGACCTTGTACCTTATCTGCAATATCTGTTTTTCAGACCTTGAGTAAAGAATGTGTTCTCCTATTTATTTTGTTCTGAGACGTTCCCCTGAAGTTCTTATACAAAGGCAGCCTGTGAATGCATAGAGGGCCAAGCAGTTAAATGGGCTTGTCTGGCTTCACAGTCCAAACTAAGCAAAACGGACAGCTGAGAGCATCAGTACAGTAAATTACTCATCCAGGTTTCTACTGTTAGACAACTTCAATTATTTTACCTGACATTGTCCCTTTAAAGATGGACTTTGCACTGTATTTTAAACCTGAAAACACTGTGTCTACATTCCATATGATGAAACTGATCATCTCTTTGTTTGTATTTTCTTTTTTTTAAAAAAAAAGGCATACAAAGCTGTGTGTCCTAATCCCTGATTTTATTTTGCTATTCCAGGCCTTAAAGATTTTGTTTGAGGGACAGTTACTTCAGCTCTTGGATTAAGGGGTTAGAAAAGATAGGGGCTGTTTTTCTTGTGTGAGGCACTGAGAAGGCAGCCAAAATATGTTTTTACTTTCTGCTATGTATCCTATGTGTTGCTTTGTCACTAAATTCTTGAAGAACTAACTCCGCAATTTAGAGAACAGTTTCAGATATTCAGGACCAATTTTTATTGCACAGAGTGAAATGCCCTATGCACTGACTGTGTATAAAAATATTACAGATCTTTGAAGCAAGCCCGAGTTGCCTCCCAGGTGCCAACCTGGCCATCCTATACTTGACTGGCAACTATTTCATCTTACTCAAAATACAAAAAAATCCCCACACCGGCTCTGACTTCTGCCCTCGTATTAAACACTAGGAATGTGCTGGGGGCTGAAAGCTCTGTGCGGAAGCTTCATCCTACAGCAAAACTTTAGAGCCTCTTTGTAAGAAGAGTTAAAATCTAACAACCACCTTGGCTCTGTTGAATGTGGCACTAGATGGCACTGGCAGAATCTGATGCCAAAGTGAAGAGGAATTGAGTTTTAAAGCAACGTATAATTTGTTTTTAGAGAATAAACTCTTTCAACTCCAGGCACTCCTTTAGAACTGACTACGCTGTCCAGAGCTGCTTGGAGTGAACATGCTTCTGAAATCTGCCTTTCTGCTCTCTGAAAGACTTCTTATATTCCTTCCTTGCTTGGGCTACTTTTCTGATATTTCAAGGAGATGATAGACTTTGACTAGCTCTGATTTCCTAAAGAAAAACTTATCTTCTTTGTATGCACTGCAGAAAATAGAATATAATTTTGTTGTACAAATGTCCAGTTTGCCAAGTCCTGTATGCTTAGCTTGTCATCACAAAAGAAGGGATGATAAACTGCCTCTAAGTGATGTGGTGCAGCCATGACTCAGATGATGGTGGCTGTCTGGGTGACAAGCAGGAGAAAATTCATTTGGCTCTGAGAGTCAATGTTTCCTCACTTCACATGGAGAGGAGTTTGAAAGCTTGAAGTGGCTCTCTGCCACCTATGTTGTTAAATGTCTCGGCATTAGCAAGTCCACTCCTGCAGCAGTATATTACCATATACAGGTTATAGAAGCACGCACTTTTTTAAACCCTTAAGAGTGAGAAAAGACTTAGGGCAGGTGGCAACCTCAAGCGGATAAAGCCAGGACTAGCTTTTTGACTACATCTCAGTGTTAACAAGAGAAAGAAAATTTGTTTCAGTGGATGAGAAAAGAGACAACTGAATCTTTTCCCCTTATTCTACTGCAGTCCATGGCATCCAGACCCAGCCAAAGCAAGTTTAAGCTTTAATTTTTTCCTACTCAGCATCATCATCCACAGTATCTGAAGGTACTGTTAGCTCAGTAATGCAGGACAGGTTACTGATGTTTGCTTTATTACAAATCAGAGGAGAGAATTCAGCATGCAAGTGGCTGATTCTGGGATGGTCTTAATACTGTGCAGAGCTAGCTGATTAACAAACATTACTTGTTATGCAGTGGTCAGCAACATACCCTGGGCATGAAAGCAAAGTTCCTAGAGGGTACTGATAATGCTGTGAATTTCTCCTCCATGGAGAATCCATTTAATTCAACTGTATCAGTAACACGGTATTTTTGTATGTCAAAGCGTATGACTTACTGACATGAACTCATTTAATTGCAAACACTTTGAAATAAAGAGTCTTATCAGTGTTGCTTATCTTTCTGAAATGTCAGAGTAACCTAAACTAGTTAGTATGAGTGCAGCATGAGGTGCTTTTAGCTCCTGTTGGGTTTGGTGTTTAACCAGCTGTACTAACAAAATAAACCAAGCAAAAATATTTAATAAGCTAGTTTATAAAATCCAAGTGCCATACACAGATGAAGAGAACATGTACATCTCTTCCATCCTCCCCTGCTATGAAAGGGGCAAAAAGTCTTACCCTTGAGCTGGAAGATTGGTTCAGATGCATTATATATCCAGAGCAATCTGGATATCGTGCAGGCGGGCAACCAGCTTCTGCACATGCTCTTTCTCTTTTAGTTGTGCTTTGGTAAGTGTGTTGATCCTCACCTGCAACTGGAAGTAAAGACAAGTGCTTAAGCTGTTGGTATAGCAAGGCAGCATTTAGTCTTTTTGACAGAGAAGACTGAATGACCTCTGCCAGCCTTTGTCTGATCCCACTTAATGAATGGTTCTGGTCACTCAGGAACAGCCAGGTAGTGGCCAGGTTGAGAGGTAGCAGTGCAGTACCCACGCCCACAGCTGCATGAACCTGGGAACTGAGAGCAATGCGGATGCAGTCAGGGCAGCATAGCCACATGGTCCTGAGAAATCACAGAAAAAATTCCGAGACTGAATCTACTAAAGCCTGCTCCGTGTCTTGGAAATAGCCCTGAAAAGGTCTGTTGGAGCTGGAGTTGCATTTCTGAACGGAGGAAGATGCATCTACACAGCAATCTATTCATTTTAACACCTTACTGTACAATTCCTCACAGCTGCGATCAGCCTTTAGGCTAAGTGCATAGCATTGTGATAATCACTTGAACAACTTAAATTTGTTTGCAATTTACACACCTGATCCAATTCTTCCTGAACTGAATGTACACCACCTCGGTCCCCTGGTTCCATGATCATTTCTAGCCACTTCTGTAGAATCTCTGCCTGCTGCTGACAGGACCTGATAAAATGGATTAGAAGGATTCTTATCCCAATTAGGAGCTCAACAGTCTAAGCCAACTTAGACTTACAATAAGACCCAATTTTCTGTCTCAAACCAGTGAATGGTAAAAGTCTTTGAAAAAATGGGTGGGCAACGGGGGAAGAGGAAGGGATGCTGGAAAGCAGATAAATCTGTCAGGAAACTTGTTTCTATTTCTGCCTCCTAGTTCCCGACTTCTTTCCTGACAGCTGAATCCCCTCCAAGCCCCCTTTTCTTTTAAGCATTTTTGTAAATGTGTTGTTCTAGCAGAGAAGTTGTTGAACATCAGCCATATGTTTTTTTTTTAATTGACAGTTGGAAAAACTAAGTTTTCACTCCTCATGATAAAAGAACTAAAAGCTAAATTTCAGCTGCTCTGCCAAGTTGATTTGTAGTGCCTTCAGATTACACGCAATGATACTTTTGTCATGCTTTCCCCAATAGCTGCCAAAGGTACAATTAAACCACTCGCTGACTACAAAAGAAGTTGCGCATGTATTCTCTCTCCCACCTAGAGTGAACTCTTAAAAGGAGAAAAGAATAACCTCTAGAACTTTTTTCTGTTCATTTACAGCTCTGCTCTGAACGAAGTGGTTATTTTCAAGGTAGTTATGTACAAAAAATGCAATATTGAGTTGACAGCATGAAGAAAGGCTGGCTAAAGGGGCTTTGCAACATACCGGAGTTCTTGCTTCCTGCTGTAGTAGTAGTGCATCTGCTGTTGGATGTGTCGGAGTTCAACTTCCAGCTTTCTCTGTAGTACCAGTTCTTCTCTGGAACCGTGCTCCCTTTCTTCCCCTTCAGCTGAACAGAAGATATAAGGCACAAGCACTGGAAGAAGAGCAGACTTCCACTGTTTTTTACCAAGGAAAGGGAGGTTAGTAGGCAGGAAGCCTGGAACCTTCCCGACTCCTTTTTACATGTTTTGTCACCCTGTGACATGTACCTATTCATCCAAAAGATCAGGGACAGTAAGAGGGCAGGAGTCCTGACAGCATGACAAGCTCTGAAGTTTCAAGTTTAAACATACAAAAAAAGGTAAGAAATGCTCTAGCGAATGGTTTAGTATTACAAGTGCTATATTTTGGCCTATTCCTGATTTAGTGTTTTACATCTAATATGTAACTAAGTCAGTCTAGTCCCATGAAACACAAATTTCATGCTGTCATGTCATTAAGAGCACCACCTTGAGAGGTGCTTAGACATCATCCATCCCCTTTACAACCATACTCTAAGTACAAGAAAAACTTGAGAACCTTACTGAGTGAATTTTTCCTTCCTGAAGTGAGTTCTGCTATACATTCAGTCTTGCATACATGAATGCCCCAGCACTTGAGCACATTCTTGCTAAAAGAAGCTGACCCCTAGGATTTCTCATCCTTCTATCCCTAGAACAGGGCTTTAGCCCTCTGACTCAGCAGAATCCATAAAACCATAGTCACCCCAAAAAGGAGTGACTAATATTCCTCACCTCCTGTGCTGCAGGCATGCAAGACTGCCTTGTCTCCCTTACATTTTGTGGAGTTGACTTGCAGTGTTGCATACATTGGAGGAGGACACGCAACTGCTACAGTTTAGATCTGAGGACATACCTGCAGTTTGGTGACTCCATTTTCCAAAGTCTTCAGGTGACAACAAATGTGGCTGCAAGTTTGGTTGCAACTTCTCCACAGAGTTCTGTTGAGAGTCTTGGGCATGGGCTCCTTTGTGAGCAGTCACAGGCTGACCTCCTCTCTACAAGGTCAGAATGATAACTGTTTTTTTCCTCACAGTGTTTTCTTGAGTAAGCCCTAAAGTAGGATGCACCTGACCTACTAAGCCCTTCTACTCAGACAGCCCCTGTAGTTGCTGAGCCCCTCTCAAAATACCACAGAAGAAGCAGAGCTTAAGAAATGGGCTCTTTCACTTTCAACATGGAGACACATCATCAAGATGAACGCCTCCCATTCTGTGTGGAATAGAGGAGTTTAAAATGCAAGCACCTACTTGCAGGTGAAGTGAGTTTCCATTTTTGAGACTCTTGGCCATAGCCACTGCTGCTAAACTGAGTTACTACTAAATCCCTGTAATCTGGTTGGCAAACTAACTGCCCTGAACTCTTTAAACGAGTAGCACTCTCGAGTCAATTGCTAGGAAGAGCATCCAGCTAGCAAGGACACAAGATGAGGAAAAAAGGCATGAATTACAGCACAGCATTTGCAGATTGCTCAGCTAGTGAAATATTGCTTCAGACTGGTGGTAAAACAGTTCTTGGGCATTCAGAGCCAGTTAATTTGGTCAGTTTCCAAGACGACAGCTGGAACAAGAAAAGAATAGCTCAACAACCAGATGGGCAGTCCAGGGGAGCCACGGGGAAAACCAGCAATAAGCAGCATGCATGTTGACAGCAGCCCAGTGAGCACACTGATTTCCTTCAGCAATACACTCACCATTTCTGCTCCAGCTTTCACCTGGGGCATAAAAGATGAAGAAGACCCTAGCTCTGGCCTCTGGACAACACAACGCACATCATGTGTCCACAGTGGTACAGACGGGAGAGCAGCATGTGTGAGAGATGGACAGGAATAAGTGGTATTGCCCACTCGAGATAGACATTTACAGGTACTTTCTTCCATTTGAGATGTTAGCATCAAGTTCCCAGTCTGTGCAGAACATTTTTTCACAGATGGTTGCTGAAAGGGTGCCTCTGAGCTGTAAAGGAAGAACAACGAGGTACCTGTACATTGCAAGCTGTTGATCTTGTCCTTTGCAGACAGTGCAAAAAAAAGGGAGAATCTTGCTATTTCCTTGCATACAGCTTTCCAGTTAGCTGCTTTACCATGCAGGGGAAACCCCAATTTAAAAAAAAAAAAAAAAAACAAACAAACAAAACCACACCCAAAAAAGAAAACACCAAAATGGTTTAAAGAAACAAAAAAAGTAGCAAAGCAGTTAAGGTTTCCATTACTCCTACCTCCCCTGCTGCAAATCTCCCACATTAATCCAGGCTGAAACAGTTTCTTCAGAGCTGTGACTTCAACCCATTAACAAAATCCTGCCTTACTTTGGTTTGGGACAAGAGAAAGAGGGGAACAGAAGCAGCAATCTCAGACAGGTTTTGACAGGAAACTGATAGATAATTCCCTTCTCTAAAGCTAATTACAGAACAATTTCACCAAAAAAGTTCAGTCTAAACACCTGATTAAAAGCAGTTTCAGCTTCTATAGCAAAAGCAGTTTCAGCTCCCTCACTTTCAGGACTAAGAAGCGACGCCATGATGAAAACAAGTGCAGAACACTCAAGACAGTGAAACCACTTAGTTGAACAATTTCAGCAGCATAGACCTTGTGGGGAAAGTGAAATCAAAAAAGTAGTTCCTTTTAGAGCAGTAAAGTTGACTCAGCCAAGACAACAACAAATATTCAGTTCTGACTCTGCATAACAAGAATCATTAATGATTCTCCAGTAAATTAGTTAAATCCAGACCCAAACCTGTTGTGGAGCAAATACGACCTATGCGTCAAAAAGCATCCTGTACAATGCAAACTTCCGAGTTTTTGTGTCAAGACTGACAGAAAAGGAAATTTTACTTATTAACTAAGCCAATTTATTTGGAAATAAGTGATGTGCCTTATCCTTCCCTCAAAATCTCTCACTAATGAAACAAAGGCCTTGGTTGCTATTTAACTTGAAAGTTCCATTATTCTTGTCTGCTTCACATAAGAAACCTGAAGTTTTTAAGGTCACCATGGCCTTTTAATAGTAAAGAGCACTGCAGTGTCCCATGATCACTGAATGTTCTTTATTATGAAGGTAAGGGGATTTGAGGGGATAAGCATAGCATGAGGCCCATTGTTAGTCACTCTTTTTCTTTACTTTTAAAACCAGATTTTCTACCTAGTGAAAGGTGGTCCCAGCAGTTCCGTGCTTTCTAGAGATTCCAGAAGCAAGTTAGGCCTCTGTGGTGGTAACCTTGCTCGTCGAATGGCATTTCTGGAAAGAATAAACAGAACCAATAATGCCCCAAATTGGTGATTAT